GGAAGCAGACTGCTGGTGAGTAATGGTGACCCGGGAGTTCTCTGTGCTCTGCAGCTTTTCTCCAAGTTGGAAATCACGTTCAAATTAAAAATTACCCCCAAACCTCCAACAGGTTCAACATAAACCCCCTATGGTCCCGGTGGCGCTGGAGACACCCCTCCCCCTCGCAGGCGGGCCCTCCTGACCACAGCGCACCCCACGCTGGCCCTCCTGGCTGGTGCGACTCCTTTCCTGCTCTTACACCTTTTGTCCGCGCCGGCGACCTCCGTCTCCGTCAGCCCTGGTGGGAGGATACTGGTGCGGCCGACTTCTCTGTCCTTGCGGAGCAGCTGCGGTCAGCTGCGGACTAGAGGGATGCCGGATCCCCGCTGACATTCAGGGCGAGGGGCGCATCAGGCTACTCTGGGGCTTGGAAGCCGGAACGAGCGGCCCCTGTGCCGCCGGAAACGCTGCAGCGGGAAAGCAGGCCGTGCCAGAGCCCGGTGAGCGGGTCACACCTTTATTAACATTGCATTCACCAAACACCTGAGCACCGCGCGCCCTCCACGGCCCCCGGCAGATTCCGGCTCCCCTTGGGGCGGCTTCCCCTGCAGCGTCAGTGTCCACGGGCTCCTGCGTCTGGAGGACGGGAAGAACCTGGCCCCGGGACAGACTTGGCAGAGGGGGCGGTATTCTCTGAGGCCCCGTATAACGAGGCCCGCGAAGAGACCCGGGAGCCTGGGCGCGACGGGACCGAGGATGGGACCCGGGAGCCCGGGCGGGATGGGGTGGAGGACGCGACCCGAGAGCCGGGGTGGGACGGGGTCGAGGACAGGAAGTGGGAGCCCGCGCGCAACGGGGCCTGGAATGAAGCCCCTGAACCCTCCTTCGAAGGGGCCTGTGATGGGGCCCTGGAGCCCACCCGCGGGAGCCATGTCGGGGTCTGGGAGGCCCCGCGCGATGGGGCTGTGGAGGCGGCCAAGGACCCCTGATGCGAGGCGGGCCGCGCTGGTGGCGGTGGCGGTGGCGGCGGCGGCCGCCAGAGCGGCGGGCCCCCTGGGCCCCGGCGCAGCCAGCCATGCACACGCGCCAGGTCCCAAGTGTCCTCGTGCTCGCGCCGCAGCTGTTCACGCTGCTCCAGCAGCTGGCGCCGCGTGTCATGCAGAAGCTGGGCCCAGCTAAGCAGCCGCAGCAGCTCCTGCCGCAGACGCGCGTTGTCAGCCTTAATGGCCTGCGTGTGCGCGACGAGCGCGCGCGCCGCCTCTCGCTCCGCGCGCCGCCCCAAGGACTGCACGCGCTGACGCGCCTCGCGCTCGAAGGCCGCCTTGTCCTCCAGGAAGCGCCTTTTCACACGGTGAAGCAGCTGCGTGTGATCCACGCGCATGTGCAGCAGCTCGCGCTCCAGCGCCCGGATCCGGGCCAACTGCTCCAGCTGCAGCTCCTGCGGCAGGGGCGCGGGTCAGCGCCCGGGCGCCGCGCGCCGCCACCCCTCCCGCCGGGCACGTCCGCGGGCGCACTGGCCTTGTAGGGCTGCAGCTCCTGCACCTGCCGCGCCATCCGCGCCGCGCGCGCCTCCATCTCCAGCAGCTGCGCGCGCACTCCGTTCTCGCGCCCGCGGTAGAGCGCCTCCAGCTCCGCCCGCTGCCCGTGGATCTGGGTCAGGTCCACGCGGTTCTGCTCTTCCAGCCGGACGACGGCGTGGGCGCAGCGCTGCGCGCGCGCGCTCATGTAGCTGGCGTAGAGCCGGTTCTCCTCGCGCAAGCGCAGCGCCTCGCGGTCCAGGAAGGCGTTCTCCTGCAGCACCTGGTCCACGCGCGCCTCGCAGGCATCCAGCTGCTCCGAGAGCAGCGTGTACTCGCGCTGCAGGTACTGCGCGCGCTCCGACAGCGGCGGCTCGGCCCCGTCTCCCGCCGCGCCCGGCCGGCGCCCCGCGCTGGTCCCGAGCTTCTTCTTGGGAGCCATGGGCTGGGGCCTGGGGCACGGGCACGCGTGAGAGCACGGCCCCCAGGCCGCTGCTCCAGCTTAGCCCTTCCCTCCCACCCCCTCCCCGCCCGCCCGAAAATTCTAGCGGGGAGGGACGCGTCTCAGGGACATGAGATCGGGGGAGGCAGAGTCAGGGGCATGGGGGTCCGGGCATCGTCTCCAACCTTTACTCTTGGGCCTTTTCCGGGCCGTGGCCGTCGGTCCGTCGGGGTGTGCCCACCTTCAGTAACTTTGGCGTTCATGCTGCACGGTCTCCGTGGAGACAGAACTTAGTCGCCCTCCTCCACTCCCACCCCGTCGCTTGGGCAACGGCCCGGCTTCCCCTTCCGGCTTCTCCCCACCCCCACCGCCCGCCACTCCCTCGCCCGAAGTCGGTGCGTGACAAGCCCGTGTGCGCGCCCTGCAGAGGTCCGATCTCAGATGGGCAGGATTTTGACTTCCGGAGGAGGACGCAGGACTTGCTTCCGAATCCGACCTAGCAGCAGCCCAAGTAGTCCCCACTGTTGGCGTGCCGGGAGACTTGGGCCCTTCGCCCAGGGGACCCTCACCGCCGGCGCCCCCATATGGGGAAATGGCGCCACAAGTTTCCGACCTCCAGGCGTGGGCAAGCCCCCCACCCCCCACCCCGTGTGAAATTTCCATATCTTGTCGGGACAGAGCTTCCCCACAGCTTATCATTTCTCTGGAGATCCTAGTTTTCTTCGAAGCACTTCGTGATTCTTTTCCCTCTTCCTGGGGGCCTCGGTGGGAGTTAGGGTTATGGGGAAGATCGTGTCCATTCGGATGTCATCCGTTGTCCACTGTATTTCTCCCTGGGATTTCCTCTGTGGGGTTCCTAAGCCCACACGTGTGCACCTGTTCAACTCATCCCACTCGCTCTTTTTTATTTATTTATTTTAATGTTTACTTATTTTTGAGAGAGAGAGAGAGAGCATGAGCAGGGGAGGGGCAGAGAGAGAAGGAGACACAGACTCCAAGGCAGGCTCCAGGCTCTGAGCTGTCAGCACAGAGCCCGACGCGGGGCTGGAACTCACAGACTGCGAGATCATGACCTGGGCCGAAGTCGGACGCCCAACCAACTGAGCCACCCAAGCGCCCCAGATACGGTGTTTTTAATAGGAAATTGGTATCTAACTTCACAGGAATGTAAGAAAAGACCAAGTAGAATCAGGGTGAAAAGCACCCGAGGCCCTGCAGTGGGGGCTCCACGGAGCCAGTGAGGATGTCTGTTCTATCTCTAGGACCTGGCGCTTCCAACCAGGGCCTCTGCTTCCGGGGCAGACGCCTGCGCTCCTCTCCCTGGCCACCCTCGAGGCCGCGCGGGGCCACCGCCCCCATTTGCCAGATTGCTACACAGGCCGCGAGGAGCGGAGGCCTGCTCTCCCCCCTCCCCCCCCCAGCCCCTCCCGGGCGTGTGTGTGTGTGTGTGTGTGTGTGTCTGGTTGGCCTCGGTCTTTTAATTTCTGGTGCGAGGCGAGGGACTCCATGCGCAGAGGATTTTAAGTCGTCCCAGCCCCCGTACTTCCCGCGGATTTGTCTCCGCTTTACGGCTGACAAATGCCTCCTCCCAGGACAGGTCCGCCGAGCGTTTTGTTCTCTTCTGCCTCCGCGTTCCTCGAGACTCGCTTCTTCCCAATACTGCAATGTCCACGGAATAGTCTGGAGAGCCGCGGGGGTGCATCCGGATCACCCCCCTTCTGGGCGCAGCCCCGGCCTCGCCCGCAGCCCGCGTCCCGCTCTCCCCGCCCTCAAGCCACGCCCAACCCCGGATCGGCTCCGGCCCCGCCCCTCCCCCGCGGCTCCCCCACTTCCGTCCCCGGCGGAGTCTCGGCCGCTGGGCGCCGGGCTTCACCGCCCACCCACGCCATTTAGCGGAAAGCTAGGACCCCGTTTCCTCTGCTGCCTCGCGCTTGCTACGCGCCGCAGGCCTCGGGGCACATGGATGGTTCCAGGCACAGTGCCTGGCCTGGAGGCAGGCCGAGATGCACCCCCAACCAGGGGCCTTTCCAGTGTTGGCCGCAGGGGTGCCTCTGGCGTCCACCGGGTCCCAGCGCCGCGCACAGAGACAGCTAACCTCCGAGGGCTCAGAGTCAAAGTCAGGCTTTACCCATGATATTTCTCCCCCCTCCTTGGGGTTCTTCCCCCCTCCCTCCGTGAATAGGGTGGTGGGGCCAAGACTGTGTCTCCCTCAGACTCAGGCTGAGGAGGGTGTGGGGTGAGGGGTCACTCACCTCTTGGGAGAACACCGAGCTGGAAAGACACTGGGAGAGAGGGGGGTGGGCTAGCTGTCTGCTCAGCTTCCGCCCAGGCTGCCCCTGCCCAGCTCTCTGCTGGGGGCTTGCCGCGGACCCCCAAGGCAGTTTCTTGGATTGAAGCTCACACGACTCGGCAGGGTACTCAGTACCCACCGCACACGCGGCCACACCCCCCCACCCGCAGGCGAGCTTCTCAAAGGCCCACTCACCTGCCCCCGTCTCGCTGTGGCTTCTGCCTTGGACGCCCTCCCTACTCAGCTTCTGAGACTTGGGGTGAGCCCCCTTCCTCAGGAGTAGCCGGTGGTGGGGTTGGGCTGTGCTTGACCCCCGGGGTGAGCGCTGCCAGCAGCCTCCGCCTCTATTTCACAGATGGAGAAACTGAGGCACAAGGTGATTT